CTATTTCCGGTGTAGCAAACGTAGTACATAGGGCGACATCTAGATGTCATCTACCTCGCCCTATTCACTATGCTTTTTTATAGGAGCTTTTCAAAGCTTTGCTTTATGGTGTCGGACACACAACATTGAAAGCTTCTGGAACAACATTGAAAGTTTCTGGAACACAACATTGCAAGTTGATAAAAGCGTTGTAAAAAGACAAAACAAGTTACAGTTAGGTCTTAGTACATAGTGTTAAACAATGGTGGCGAACATTATTAGAACTGTAACAGAGTTTTCATAAGACAGTCGCGGCAGTAATCAAATGAAAGTACATAAAACAAACGTTAAAGATTACAAAATTAACAGAAAGGAAATAAACAACATAAAATAATTAATGCAAACAATACATATGTATATATATATAATCAGCGCCGTTACAGTCTCCCCGTCTGACGCAGAAATCGCCCCGATGATGCAGTCAGCACTCAGAACGTTTTTCTCTGACGTAAGCTTCTACGAAAGGTAACGTTGTTGTCACTGTGTTGCTGATTTTTATTGTTGCTGCTTTGTATTTGTTGTTGCGCCGTGTTGCTCGGCGATGGATCTGCAACTCTCTTCTATGAGGGCCTCTTTTTCTATGAGGGTACCTTGGTTCGACGTTGCGGCCTTCGTACGGTGACAAATCCGCTGCGTGGAGTGTTGCTATTGGTATATCGGGGCTTTCAAGTGAAGCGATGACATAACATGATGCCCCTTTCCTTGCTATTATGCGATAAGGACCGTCACGACGAGTTGCGAATTTCGATGTTAGCCCTTCACTGGCTTTGCTTAGCATATGCGTAGATACCAAAACTTTATCTCCGATGCTGAAATTGGGTTGAGATCTTCTTTTGCTATCAACATAGGTTTTATTTTTGTCCTGTTGTTTTTCTTGTGTTTCTATAGCCAGTTTTAAAGTGTCAGCCAGCTTTATGAAATGAGGCGTTATTTGTGGTACAAAATTTTCTGCTTCCACTATGGATTTTAGGTCATGATGCGCTTCGAGTGGACTTCTCAGCTCTCGGCCGAACGTAAGGTATGCTGCTGTTTGCCCTGTGCTGCCACACCTTGCTGTGTTCATAGCAAATTTTATTGTCGGTAGGCATGTATCCCACGCTCTATGATTTCTGCCAACATATATGGATAGTTGTGTTTTTAAGTCTCTATTCTTCCTCTCAACTGGGTTTGCTTCTGGGTGATACACAGGAGTGAACGTTTGATTGATACCCAGACAGAATGTTAGTTTTTGCACTATTGCGGAAACAAACTGACTTCCATTATCTGCATGTATACGCCTTGGTACGCCATATCTTAATATAATTTCATTAAGAATAATTTTTGCAGAATTTTCTGCAGTAGCATCCCTCAAGGCAAACAATTCTATCCATCTGCTGCAAATATCCACGACGAGTATCCATCGATGACCACTACTGGTAAGAGGCAAGGGTCCAAACAAATCTAGAGCGATAGTCTCGAATCTTTTATTGCTGCAAACAGTTTGTAGCAGACCAGCCGGTTTCAAATTTGTTGGCTTATACTTCTTGCACTCAATACATGATTTGACGTAGTCAGCTATTTCGCCCCGCATTCCTGGCCAAAAATAGTGCGGAGTGATTCGACTAGTCGTTCGATCAATACCATAATGACCGGCAGTAGGATCATCATGAAATTTTTCCAAAATTGTAGCTCTCATGTTTTTTGGTACCACCAATTGTCCATTTTCGGAATCTTCCTCCGAGCAGAAACGATATAGTACGCCATTAATCATCATATAACCGCGATTCGCATGTCTAGTGACATTTTCATCATCACTTTCGAATGAGTCGATAATATTTTTAATATCTGCATCTTGTAGCTGCGCATTACGAAACTCTTCAGCTCCTTTTCTGGGAAAATCTATCTCAGCGGCGTAACATTCGCAAGTTAACCGTACGTGGCTGTCCGGTGAACTAGGAGGGCGAGACAGCATATCAGCAACTACGTTTTGCTTGCCTGCGGTGTAACCAAATTTCAGATTAAACACCTGCAGTTGCAAGGCCC